GGAGCAGCATGGTGGTTAAGTGAGTAGCTTGAAGAAAAGAAGAATATAGGTCGATTCTCAGATGGCACTTCAATGTTTTGGGGGGGAATAACTTGTACTGATAACCAAAATTAGGATTAAAGGACAAAGAATAGGTTTTTTTTTTAAAAAAAAAGAGATGACTTATTCAGCTTTAGAAATTTTGAGTTTGAAAATGTTTGAACTATCCATATTGAGGGTTCTACTGAGCACCTAGAAATCCAATGCCGGAGATTATAACAGTAGCCCAAATTGAGATACAAACCTGAGAATAGTTAATATGAAGTGAAATTAGATGGAGTCTTTTAGAGGGACTGTATCAGCTAAAGTAAAAACCGAACTGAGGACAGAACCCAGACAACTATTAAAGAGCATAGTAGGTAGCATAGTCAAGAAAGAGACTGAGAAGGGCACTGAAAGGCAAGTCATGTAACAAGGAAATTGTTGGGAAGAAGAGACTGATAGTTTTACAGGGAGTGAGACACAAAGTAATACAAAACATGAATTTGGCTGTCAATGATTTGGCAACTAGGAAGTTATTGGTGACTGTAGGAAAACCATTTTGTTGTAATAACTGGGTCAGCTATCAAATTGCAAAAGTCAGCAAGTGAATGGGAAGTGATGAAAAGGAGACAGAGTCATATACTTCACTGAGAATTGAGGAGCAAAGAGGATATGCAGGACACAGAATCTAAGGAGGTTTAAATTCATAATTACGTATTCATTTTCGGGAAGAATGAAATATGAATGTATTTATAGGATCACAGTCACTTGCTTCACAGGCAGCCTCTAGCTATGGGCTATATAAATCACATGTAAAGGGGGACCCTCGCAAACCCTGAAGGCTATGGCAGTTTCTTTCTTGCTTGCTCCACTGGAAACAGCCACCTACCAGTGTAATAAATCCACCTATGTGATTTACTTTCTCAGTCCAGCAAAAAGTCACATCCTGGGTGATGCTCTGTGACACCACCAATGTACTTTCACATGGAGGGGAGGTAGGCATGACATTTATCACTGCCCAGAAATACTGGGGACATTTTTGTCAGAGTGTGTGAAACCTTGCCGGGAGTTTAAATGGACATAGCTCGAACTGTTTGCGTGACCCACATTCTAGGGAATATTGTTAATAAACTACTAGTCAGTGTGTCCTTTCTTCGTGCTGTTAGTTGGGGGTAGCACATGACCTTTGTGCTTTTGTGTTAATTTTAAAATTTGAAGTTTCACTGTTCCCTCAAGGAAATTTTTAAATAAATCTGTTTCTTTAAACGATGTTTTCCCATCAATAACTTTCCTCCGAAGGACCTTTCTTATGCAGAAGGGCAACCCACATCTACCATTTTAAGCCAGAAATGTTTGGCATGCTATTTCCAGTGCTACAGAATGGGGAGTATACATCTATTAAAATTCTTTACTCATTCTTTTCAAGACCAGTTCTACAGCAGAGAAAACTCATTTTTTTTCCACAGGAATTTTGAATTGTATGTACGTGTTGTCTACATGCTTTAGCTTTCTTACATATTACACTGCTATATTAAAGGCATCAGCTCTATAGGAAGGAAATTGCTTTGGGGGAGCAGCATGTTCACTGAAGCTCCAGAGTATTTTCCTTCTCTTTTTTTTTCTGACCTCCCCCACCTCCCAGTTTACATTTTCTCAGCACCGATCATTTATCCTAATGTGATGGGAGGAATTGAGATCAGAAAGCCAATAAATGGCAGATGTCTTCCAGTATAACTGTTTTCATCCATTGTGTATACCATACAGTATTGCGTAATAGACACTGAGTGGCTCTGATTTCCCACTACCTCAAATAAGCCTTAGCTCCACCATTTACTGCTGTGTGACATTTGGCAGGTTACTCAACCTTTCTGTGTTTCAAGCTCATCCTCCTTAAAATACAAAGAATGGTGGTGCCTACTTCACAGGGTGCTATCAGTTTTAAATGAGAGAAATGCAGGTAAACTGCTTGTTACATACCTGGCATATGCAAGTACAGCTTAGCTATTATCACTTTTGAGAAGCACTGAAAAGGCCCATGATTTTACTCAGTTGGAGAATGTACTAATATTTTTAATTACTAGAAAATGAGGACTCATGATTGTGATTAAATAAAAAGGAATAGGACTGATATTTAGAAATGAGCAAAGATTTTAAAGCTAAACAAATCTGGTTGTGAACTTCCATTCTGCCACTTGATGCTCTGTAACTAACCTCAGACAAATTACTTCATCTCTCTGAGCCCCAATTTTCTCATGTATAAAAAGAAGAATGATGGTTACCTTATGTATTTCTTATGAAGATGAGAGAACATTGTGAGGGACTCAGAATATAATACATACTTAATAAATTTAAATTTCTTGCTATAATTTTTGAGTAAATTCTTATTTTATCATAAAGGCAAGCCTGCATTTACAAGAAAATAAAAAGGAAACCAAATATACACATACACATCTAAAGCAAAACAGCCCTTTCTTTATCACTACTTGAGTTGTTGGGGAAAATAATCCTGAAAGTTTTGAGAAAAGAATATTTGACTGTTTTTCATTACTGTATAAATTCAAATATTGGAAATTTGGTTCATGTTTGTAGTACACATGGTCATTGAATTGGATCATCCTTGGTAGTTTTCTGTTGGATTTGAAGAGAACCCTTAGGTAATATATTTATCAATTCAAAGCAAAAATCCAAAGTAAAAAAAAATCACAAATACATAAAATTTATTCCCAAAAGTCAACATATTATCTTCTTAAATGATTTATAAGTACCTTTTAAGAGGCTATTTACTTAATTTTGGGAGGATAGAGTTCAATTACTAGAGGCAAATAAGCATCACGTTTGTTTTCAAAGCTCTCCACCGAAAGGGTCAATATTCTCCAACATAACCAATTTGCAAACCTTATTATTAAAACACTAGAATATCTCTATAATTCATTAGCACCATTGAATGGATTAAAATTTCGTTTTGCTGAAGGAACAGAAAGCTGGCTTAAACACACACCAGTTTGTTCTTCTTATATTAAATGCTATCTGGACAAAAGGGCTGCCAGTAACTTCAGCCTCAGCATGTCTGTTAATCTTTTAGCTTTTCCCTTGAGATTGTTGCCTAACGGTCAGAAGATGACTGTAACAAGAGCCAGTATCATGCCCAAGTTCAAGACAGGCAAAGGGAGTGACTGCCAACTGCAGATATCTTTCCTTATCATCAAGCAAAGAAAGTCTTCCTGAAGGCTACAAGAAGACTTATCGACCAGGACTATGCCATATGACCACCCCATTGCAAGGGAAGTGGAACAAGTATTTAATTTTCCAGCTTCTAAAATGGAAATGTCAAGGGAATATGGGGTGTGCATGTCTGTCAGAGTTAGGGAATGAGGTCTGATACACCATTATCGAGAAACTGCCTGTTCTAACATCTGCAAACGAAGCTAACTAGACCCGTTATCTGCTCTAATCTTTACTGACCTTAGAAAATGCTGTTTTCTAATTCTGCTTTTTATGCACTTTAATATTGATATTAGATTACTCAATATTATTTCCTAAATGGAATATATGTATTTCATTAGTGCTAGATTTGATACCAAGGTGAGAATGTTGTGTTTGCTGTTACTGTAACAAGAGCCAGTATCATGCCCAAGTTCAAGACAGGCAAAGGGAGTGACTGCCAACTACAGATATCTTTCCTTATCATCAAGCAAAGAAAGTCTTCCTGAAGGCTACAAGAAGACTTATCGACCAGGACTATGCCATATGACCACCCCATTGCAAGGGAAGTGGAACAAGTATTTAATTTGAACTAGAATGTTTTCTTTGGTAACAATTCTTTACTGCTTGAAACATGGTGGTTTTGCACTACTGAACCCATAACGAAATTATTTTACAGGTGGGGAGGCAAAGCATCTGTTGGTATAATCAAATCCTTAACCTAATGGTTGTTAAAGAATTCTCCAAACATTCTGAAGTTTTACATAATTTCAACATGCACCACTTACTTTTCTTCCGCTTTTATGAAACTCCTTAGACTATTAAAGTAATTTCATGGTATTTATTCCATCTGGAAACATTGGGGTCACATTTTCTTTGGCTGTTTTCCCCCCTTTCTCATAGGTTGATAATTTTTACCAAGCTATTACCTAATATTAATATGTTTCAAAAGTATTATCTCTTAATTAGTGGAATACTTAGGATGAAATAATGGGAGTGTTCAGCCCAGGTATATACACCAAGGAATGTATGGTTTGTAGGTATTGTGAAATCATTAATAAATCTAACTAAAAGTTGGATGGCTTTTTATTACCACCATGTGCTGCCGATTCTAAACAATGTACATGATAAAATATGCTTTCTTTAGGGCAAGACCCTGCCTCCCCACTTTTATGCACTGCTTTGTAAATTTCAATTTTTCGCTTTCAAATAAGTTAATAGTTTAAGATTTTAAAGAGCAAATACAGTCTGAAATACTTCATATGGGAGAAAATGCAGGGTTTCTTTTCCTGGTTTTATCACCTTGATTGCAGTCATGGCATCACAACTTGAGTGAAAACAAAAGGGGAACTTAAATGCAAATTGGACATAAATGTAAAACTGTAATAAAGGTAGAATTTGACTATTTTCTGTAGCATATTTCTCCTTTTAAGCTACTGAATACAATTCCTTTCCTAGAAGGAAAAGAAAATGGGAAGCCTCAAACTCAAGTTACATTTATTAGTGTTTCTTATTTCAAAATGGATATCTCAAACTCAGTATTTCTATTTCGGTTTTGGGCTAAACATAAAATACAAGAAAGGAGCAGCATAAGGTAAACTCATGCCATTTAAGGAATTGTATGCAATGAATTTGATTGTATAATAATGTGAAATACTGAACATTAAGTGCTTGCTAGCATTCCAATCTTTGTTTTTCTGTTATATGCAATTAAAACACAACAACAACAAAGTGAGAAGAGATAAATTTCTCAAGTTCACTGTGATCCTTTTTTTTAGGCATTTTTGGACAGAAACTGGAGGATACTGTTCGTTATGAGAAGAGATATGGGAACCGTCTGGCTCCAATGTTGGTGGAGCAGTGCGTGGACTTTATCAGACAAAGGGGGCTGAAAGAAGAGGGTCTCTTTCGACTGCCGGGCCAGGCTAATCTCGTTAAGGAGCTTCAAGATGCCTTTGACTGTGGGGAGAAGCCATCATTTGACAGGTAGATGTCGCAATTTTACTATCTTCAATGAGAAATTCAGATTGAACTCAAAGGATGCAGTGAGCTGAGGAGGCAAAACCTTGATTGTTGTGATAACAGTTTACAACAGAGATTATTTGGCCACAGGAGTTCGCATTGTTTTTATTACGTTACAAAGTTAAAAATTTGGCAACTTAGATGTCTTTTTCTTCCATACTTTCCATCTTAAAACATTCTTTGTTGTACTTTTTCCTTTTTCTTTGGTACCAAAGTATAATTGTATTAAACTTTTGCACTGGAAAAAGTAAACTTATGAAATAAGATGCTTGTTTAATTTTTTAAAATTCTTTCAAATAAAGAATATTAAAAGTATGAGTAGAGATTGGGATATTGGCAATGTAATTAAAAATGAGTATTTTAATAATAACAAAAGTATTTTAATACTCATTTTAAGAAAAATGAGCATCTTAATAATGAGTATTTTTATATTTTTAAATATATAGCTCTACCTTAATCTAGAATAGTTTTACAGGGAAATAAGGAGAAGTATAGCATGGTAAAAATAAAAGAATAATGGCAGCCCCAGAGAAGAAAATATAAAGCATTCCTGACTCCACTAATTAAGAGTTAATCATGGCTAATATTTTGTGAATTATCTCCTCTTAAGTAGAAAAATTAAAATTTTATCTTGATATTGTTAGTATTATGCATCAGAAATGTTCCCATATTAATAGTTGAAAAATCCCCTTCTATTCTAATATATTTAACATTTTACAATTAGCAACTTTTGTAAGCCTCTTTTTTAATATCTAGTATTTCACCCTACAGCTTTATTATTCATAACTATTTCAATATTGTTGGACATTTACATTATAAGTTTTTCATTATTATAAATACTATTGTAGTGAATATACATTTACATAAATACTTTCTATTTTTTGATTACTTAGGATAAATTCTCAGCACTGGACCTTTTGGATAAGAATAATCCTGATGCTAGGCCGGGTGTGGTGACTCACACCTGTAACCCCAACACTTTGGGAGGCCAAGGTGGGCAGATCACCTGAGGTCAGGAGGTTGAGACCAGCCTGGCCAACATGGTGAAACCCTGTCTCTACTAAAAATACAAAATTAGCCAGGTGTGGTGGTGCTCACCTGTGATCCCAGCTACTCGGGAGGCTGAAGCAGGAGAAGCGCTTGAACCCGGGATGCAGAGGTTGCAGTGAGCTGAGATCATGCCATTGTGCTCCAGCCTGGGCAACAGAGCAAGACTTCACTCAAAAAAAAAAAAAAAGAAGAAGAAGAAGAATCCTGATGCATGAAAATTAAAAATAGCCTACTGTCTTAATCCATTCAGGCTGTCATAAGAAAATATCATAAACTGAGTGGTTTATAAACAAAATTTATTTCTAAAAATTCTGGATTCTGGAAATTCTGGAAAGTCACAGTAAAGGCACTGGCGAATCCATGTCTGGTGACAACTTGCTCTCAGTTCATAGATGGCACCTTTTCACTGTGCCCTCAGTTGTTGGAGGGTACAGAGCAGCGCTCTGGGCCTCTTTTTAAAAGAACGTCTAAAGGAGTTGTAGATACAAGCTAAACTTGTGACTGCGAGTAATAACAAATCACAGTTTAGCTATAATTATGAAAATCATGAAATCAGAATGCAAAAGAAAGCCCTTATAAAGATGAACTTTATGAATGATAAAGTAATAGTGAATATTACTATTAAAGACGGCTTAGTTTTATTTTTTTGAAACTGAGTCTTGCTCTGTCGCCACACACTGGAGTGCAGTGGCATATCAGCTCACTAAAACCTCCACCCTGCTGGTTCAAGCCATTTTTGTGCCTCAGCCTCCCGAGTAGCTGGGATTGCAGGCGTACACCACCATTACTAGCTAAATTTGTATTTTTAGTAGAGGCAGGGTTTCACCATGTTGGCCAGGCTGGTCTCAAGGTTTAGGTTTCTGTATGTCTCAAGATCTGCTTTGTATTTAGAATGAATAGTGAAACGAGTGTAAATAACATACAAATAAAATAACATATGATTCTTAAAAGTTATATATGAAAAGGGCTGGGCTCAGTGGCTCACAACTGTATCCCAGCACTTTGGGAGGCTGACGCAGGAGAATCTCTTAAACCTGGGAGGCGGAGATTGCAGTGAGCTGAGATCAGGCCACCGCACCCCAGCCTGGGCAACAGGGCAAGACTCCATCTCAAAAAAAAAAAAAAGAAAGAAAAGAAAGGAAGAAAGAAACAAACGAAACAGTAATATATGAAAATAAACATTTTTTAAATTACTAGAGACCTTAATATTTAAAGTAAAGCTATAATTTGTCCTTTTACTTTATAAAGTAAAAATAATTTACTATTCTGTATTAGTCTGTTTTCATGCTGCTGATAAAGACATAACTGAGACTGGGTAGTTTACACAGAAAAAAGGTTTAATTAATAACACAATTCCACATGGCCGGGTAGGCCTCACAAACATGGCAGAAGGCAAGGAGGACCACGTCACATCTTATGTGGTTGGTGGCAGGTAAAAAGAGAGAGCTTATGCAGGGAAAACTCTTGTTTTTAAAACCATCAGCTCTTGTGAGACTCATTCACTGTCATGAGAGCAGCATGAGAAAGACCAGCCCCATGATTCAGTCACCTCCCACTAGGCTCTTCCCACATGTTGGAATTGTGGAAATTACAATTCAAAATGAGATTGGTTTTGTTTTTATTTAAAATGTATATTTTTTCTTATTGTAAATATATTTCTTCTTTTTTACTTTTTTCAACTTTTATTTTAGAATCGTGTGCAGGTTTGTGACAAAGGTATATTGTATGATGCTGAGGTTTGGAGCATGAATGAATCCGTAACCCAAGTAGTGAGCATAGTACACAACAGATAGTATATTTCAACCCTTAGCTCCCTCTTTCCCTCTCCCCTCCTGTATTTCCCAGTGTCTGTTGTTCCCATTTTTATGTCCATGTTTACCCAATGTTTAGCTCCCACTTAAAAGTGAGAACGTGATATTTGGTTTTCCATTTCCTCATTTGTTCACTTAGGATAATGGTTTCCAGCTGCATCTATGTTGCAGCAGAGGACATCATTTCATTCTTTTTGATGGTTGCATAGTATTTCACAGTATATGTGTACCACTTTTGTTTTATCCAATGACCATTGTTGGACACTTAGGTTTATTTCATGTCTTTACTATTGTGAATAGCACTGAAATGAACACATAGGTGTATGTGTCTTTTTCATAGGATAATTTCTTTTCCTTTGGGTATATACCCACTAGTGGGACTGTTGGGTCAAATGGTAGCTCAACTCTCACTTCCTTGAGAAATCTCCAAATTGCTCTCCACAGTGGCTGAACTAATTTACATTTTCGCTAAGTGATTAAGTGTTCCCTTTTCTCCTTGGCCTCACCAATATCTGTTATTTTTTGACTTTTTAACAAAAGCTATTCTGACTAGTGTGAGATGGTATTTCATTGTGGTTTTTATTTGCATTTCTCTGATGATTAATAATGATGAGCATTTTTTCATATGTTTGTTGGCATCTTGTATGCCTTCTTTTGAGAAGTATCTGTTCATGTTCTTTGCCTTGTTTTAATGGGTTATTTCGTTTTTTGCTTGTTGATTTGTTTAAGTTCCTTATAGATTCTGTATATTAGACCTTTGTGAGGTGCACAGTTTGTGAGTATTTTTTCCCATTCTGTAGGTTGTCTGTTCACTCCCTTGATAGTTTCTTTTGCTATGCAGAAGTTCTTGAGCTTAATTAGGTTTCATTTGTCAATGTTTGTTTTTGTTGAAGTTGCTTTTGAGGATGTGGCATAAATTATTTGCTAATGTCTGGGACCTCTTTTACAAGGGCATTAATGAAGGCAGAGCCTTGATCACTTCCCAAAGGCCCCACCTCCTAATGCAATCACACTGGTGATCAAGTGTCAACATACGAATATGGGGGAACTCAAGCATTCAGACCATAGTACATACTAAGTGTTATTTCTCTGTCAAAGTGTAGAATTAGTACTTGGCTGGACACATGGTAAGTATGCAAACTGTTGTAGTCTTTCTAAAGCAATTTGATAATATATTTCAGGAGCATTAATGCAGGCAATTCCAATCCCAGAAAAAAATCAGATGTGTAGAGCAAACTTAAGTGCAAAGTTGTTTATTACAAATTGTATAACAGTAAAAAAATGAACACCAATTTATCTCCCTGTAAGTATGGTTAATTAAATAATGTTGCATTCATATCAGAAAATATTACACAGTTTTAACATGTTAGGACAGTTTTAATTACATAATGATAAATGGAAAAAGCAAACAGGATCAATTAATTGATTAAAGCCCTACCTTTTACAAAAAAAGTATTGCAAATAGTTTATAAATATTTATAAATTTACTCTGAGGAAAAAAATAAATGTGGAGATACAGAAATGAATTCAGAACAAGGATCAGAGAACAGATTTCAAGACTGCAAATATACTTTTTGCTGAGGAGCCGCATCTCTTATTCTTTACTTTAAAAAGAAAGTCAGATCTGTAGTTATATAGATCAGCCCTGTCCACAACATATAATCAATGAGTTATGGAGGAGAAATGTTCATTTTTAGTACCAAAATTAGAAAGAAATAGGATCCTCATAATAGAATATTGGGTAATGGGATAAGCAATATCCTCTACAATGAACTTCAAGAGACTATGATGAGTTTCAATGCCCTCTTTTCATATTGACATATGGCCTAATTATATGACATTGACATTATTGCAAAACACAGTTATTAAAATTATTTTTTCATGAGCATTTATGATTTGATTCTTATAAGATTTTTCTAATGCGGGGGAATGAAGTAATATTATGTATTTTAGGATTCCTGTAAGAACAGATGTGCCCTGTAAGCAGTTATCTCCAAATCAAGTTCTTGATAACTATTGACTGACAATGAAATATTGTCCAAAGTTTATAAAAATGTGGCCCTAATTATCTCCTTTATAAAATGTATTTTTGCATAAACGACA